TAGTATATATATATATATATATATATATATATATATATATATATATATATATATATATATATATATATATATAGAGTTATATATACGACGATTTTTTCACATTCTCGAATTTTTTTCACAGGTACAGCATTCTTTTTCATTTTTCTAGTGAATTCGTATCATTTTTTTATATCGCCAGAGTGATATCTCTCGCATTCATTGTTAACACGAAAATGTATTTCTAATAATATTTTAATACACGATTTGTGTATAAATGCATTAGAATACTTTTGCTACATATTATAAATAAAAAATAAAAAAGATTGAATACTCTCGGTAAAATACTTGTGCCTCATATAACGTGCTCCAAAATAAATTCGAAAACAATGCGTTTAAATAGTTTTGGACTTTACGGAATCTATGATTAATTAAATTATCAATCATATTCATATAATTATGAATCTTTTTTCATATATTTTCTTGTAAAGCGAATAAAGAAAATCTCAAGATCTTAAAAATAATATTGAATATCATAAAAACAAGAACAATTATGTTATCAAATCATATTAAACCACTGATACGAATAAAATTGCAAATATTACATGCATATCTGCATAAGCGAACATGGACGCGCGAGTTTCCAAAAATAGATCTACAAAAATGTGAGAAATGATAACCTTTGTGATTCCACAATCGGATTCCACTTCGTGTTTAGTGTGGTGTACGTCGATGGGCGGTAGTTGGTCTAGGAACGCCGGAACGACTTCGCACTTTCTTTGGTTGCACAAACGTATTATCTATTCCGGTATTGTAAGAGAGATATATGTTCGACATGTCCGGTGGCACTGTCTGCAAACAGATTTTTATACATCGTTATAAGAATTTTTCGATCGAAATTTTAATCGTGGATAAACGTCGATCAATTTTAGATAATGCTAGGCACAGTTTGTTTTTTTCCCTTCTAAGATTAATAAGAAAACGCGGATAATCTTACGTCTTTAGTATTTCCTGCCGACGATACAGTCTGTGCTTTGCGCATATTATTTCCTGTATACGCCACGCATTTTAGCTGCCATTCGCCAATATCTTCATTCCAATGAACATATCTCTTGATCATGGTCTGTAAGAAATACATTTAAATAATACATTTAATACATTTAAAGGAAATTCAATTAATTTAATTTTAATCGATGCTTTTTAGTGCTTTTTAGTGCTTTCTGGATTATCATTTATTGTTTTAATATGAACATATCAATCTCTTTCAAGTTTTTACTTCACTTGAATTAATGTGGTTCGTGCAAATTTGCAACACATTCTCACATACCTGATATTGAACGGGGATATAATGATTCACTATTAGATTTTGCAATTGCAATTCTCTACCGATTCCTCGTACACCCTCTAAAAGACCCTCCATCTCCCTTTGATGTTCTTGTTGCAAATCGGATAATTCCGCCTTCACGGACATGAGCATCGTATATACGCGTGCCAATTTTTTTGTTTTCCCGGCCGCTTCTTCCTGCAGAGATGAGTATTTCTCCTCGATATCGATACGTTCCGCCTCTTTCGCCTTAATGGCCTTTTTCAATTGTTCTTCTCTGCTCTTTCGTTGTTCAAGTTCGATCGCTGCCGCAGCTAACAATTGCTCCTGAGCCTCTGCCTTCTCTAATAGATTTTCGCCGCCCACTAGTATCTTGTTCTGCAAATTCTGCATCTTTTCTCGCAGTGCTTCCTTCTCGCTCCTGGAATTAAGACAATTGATTTTGTAAAAATGTTTATATTTAAATTATTTATTATTCGTACAACTTATGTTACCGATTTAATCGTCCGTTGTTATTGTTATTATAATTTGGTTCAGTTTAATCTACTTTAACAAAAACTTACTGCGTCTTCTTCAACTCAATAACATCTTTATCCACTGGACTCTTATCATCCCTTTCAGCTTTATCAACTTTTTCTGTCGAATCTGTATCTCCGTCCTCCAATTCCTCCACCGACAACATTTGGCTCCTTCGTCGAGCTTTTTTATCTCGTTTAGTTTCTCTCGATTCTTGCGAATCTTCAGATTCGTCCTCGGATTCTGAGAGCTCCGCGCCATTCTCCTCCAATTGTTTACGTAATTGTTCAATCTCAACTTGGAATTGACGAAGCAAAGCATCTTTCGGGTCCTCATTGATCCTCGCGTGATTTTTAATATTCTTCGCGCGATTCGCGTAGCGTAAAGTGCTTATAGTCTCGTCGTAGTTTATGTCTGCTGGACTAATGTTTGCACACTACAATTAAGACGTTAATGATATAAAATATTTATAGTTGAAAAAGTATTAAAAAAAACTGAACAATTTCTCTTTAAATTAATAATATATTTGTGATTATTTAAAATAATATATAAAAGTAATATATATAAAATATTATCATTCCTTACCATCAACGTTTTCGAATTTCCACCTAATGAGTCCTGAAGCAATCTAGTCAATTTGGAATTTCTGTAAGGCACGTGAGAGCTTTGTCCATCAACTAGCGCAGATATTACATTCCCCAATGTAGACAATGACAAGTTAATTTTAGTGGCTTCACGAAGACGTTGGCCCGTCGCCTTTGTCTTACTTTGTCTCTCCGATCCCTGAAAGTTGAGGAAACAAGAAGTATAGATAAGCAAGTTAAAAATTTTTATGTAAATAAAAAATATTTTACATTACATAAATAATATACATACGGCTAAATCCACCAAATGAAGCTTTCCCATTTTCACATGTTGCTCCCCATCTTCACCGATTTGACTAGATTCGACTGTAATTGTAAATATCGCGTGGGATCGAGAGCTGGACACATTCATAGCAGTAGCCCCAACAACACCTTTGCGTTTGCAAATTCAGAATTATTTTTAATATATATACATTATACATCAATTAGCAGTTTATAAGATTGTTGTTACTCACGATTTTTATTGCCGAGAGACATAATGCGATCCAAATCGTCGGCATTATTCACCACATATCCGCTCAAATCCTTCACGAACACTCCGATGTCTGGTCTTTCTTTCACCTCCAATCGAGTATTCTGATCTTTACCTAACAGATCTCGAACTTCCTCGTTGTAGATCTCCAAGTATGTCGCACGCACGAGAAATCTATTAATTTGTATCAGTAATAGGAGATAAATAAATTCAATCTGCTTAAAGCAGTATATTAATTACATTAAACTATTTTAGCAATATATGCTGTCCTAAAAGACGTACAATTATAAAAATATTATTTCATAAACAGTAAAAATCTCATTTTTATATAGTATTTTGTTTTTGTATATGTTTTTGTATATGTTTTTATATAAGGCAATATCTTACTTTTGATTTTCATCAGCTTTGGCTATATGACCGAAGATGTGAGCAAATGTATTTGGAATAATTCCTCTGGCTTGTGGAGAAGTTTTAGCACCGGACATGGTATAAGTTTTACCAGTACCTGTCTGGCCATATGCAAAAATCGTTCCATTGTAGCCTTGTAGCACCTTGTCTACTATAGGCCTAGCAGTCTCGTTATAGATGTCCACTTGGGTTGAATCTGTATCAAACACTGCATCAAAGGAGAAAACTTTCGGTGGCTCTCCTTGAGCTGCATTTGGATTCTCTATGGTGATCTCAGCATTCAAGGCATCCACTTCTATTATGTTCTTGCAATGGGAGTCAAACTCCTTGCTGTTCAATGGTCGAACTCGCACCACTACCCTGACATTCTCTATCTCTCCCAGTTCTGTTGTGCTGTCCTAAATATGTAAATAAGCATGAAAATAAATCTCCTATTTCGAAAACACATTATTTAATAAAAAAAACGTGCAATTTTTGGAAATCGAGTATATGCTGTAATATTACAGGTGCCAAGAAATAAAGCAAAAATTAAATTTTACAATGCGGATTTATATTTGACATTACATAAAAAAAATTACAATGGATATAATAAATTATTACTATATAATATTGAATAATTAATCACTAAAAGGAAGTATTAGATATATTGTGGAAAACAATTCTGTCCGGTTACAGAATCGTAATTGAGTTTGACATTTAAAATGTCAAGAATCGTCAATGATTTTCGTCAAGCAACGTATATATTTGTTGTACGGAACGATACTAACTTCGGTCCCCGGCATCGCGGATTCGTTTTCATCCGCAGCAATCACATAAACGCGAGCGTTTCTTAGAGCATAATTTGCAAACTTTTAGGGAACACGTCATGAAACGTCGAGACTAGCAGACGACCTCAGTAAACAAATGGATCGATGCTTGCCGCCCGTAAGGGTACGTTCGAAAACATCATCCGTGATTCCGTGTATCGTCTCATCCTTGTTTAACATTCGATGAACAACAAGGATAAAACGATACATGGAGGTGCTCGGGTGGTGTTTCCGAACGTAACCTAGGCATTATGCGGTTGCTAGATTCGCCGTATTCGAAGAGTCTGAGGCCATCTTTTCCTTGTATTGGTAAACACTTGAGTAATAAAGTTCTGTCAGTAACATTGCGATCTGTAATATCTCAACTTAACTGTGTGTGTGTGTGTGTATATATATATATATATAATAAATTTTAATATATGTAATATTTTAATATATATAATAAATTCTATTTATTCTATCTATTTATCTTTAGCGAGTTTATCAGTGGCTTTATTAGAAGGTAAAAGCAACATTTTTTACAAGAAGTTCAACGATATAAATTATATACTGATATAACATAACTTCAATATAACTTCTTTTTAGACTAACTTCAAATTCCAGTTAATTTCAATAACTTACTAAATAATACTATCGTGTATTAATTAATTAAAATGTATAGAATTATAAACTTTTTGTTATTTGGAAAAAAAAAGATTCAAAACATTTTTTATATTTTTCGATGAAATATAAAAGTTTAGAATTTTTTTTCTAATTCAAATTTGAAAGACAGTAATAGAATGATGACAGTAATAGACGAGGGAGAGCGTGACATAGTAGGCAGCACACTTAGTCTTCCTATGTTAGAGGTCCTGGGTTCGATTCTTGGCAGAATGAAGAATATTTTTCTTCACGTTCGTGTCTCCTCTTCGGCGATCTGGCAAACTGCCAAGAAATATCTTTGCCACGAACCTCTCTCAATTAAGCCGTTCGGATTCGACATAAAATTGTGTAGGTTCCGTATGTTTCTGTGTGCAATCGGCGTGCGCATCAAAGGTATATGTAAGCGAGAGAGGTTTTTACCTGAATGGGATATTGTCATGACACTCAAATCGTCCGTCGGTTCCATTCTAATTTCGCCCATAAAAGTTTGCGGACGCTGATGCAATTTGATCGCTGACATTAACTGTAATGTTACAACAAGATTATTAAGGATCCATCCATAAAATGTTTTCCATCTATAAAAAAGAGACAAGTCTTTACGCGAGACTGCAATACGGGAATTTGATAAGAAAGGTTGCGGCGCAGTCCGATCAGAAAAGGTAAAAGCAATACATGCGCGATGAAGTACGATTGATGGGATTACCGATATACAAAAGAAATATTTATCTTCGTTTTCGCATGCATTGCTTTTTTTTTTTTTAATGATTCAAACAACGTGCAATTTTAAAAACGTTTCAAAAAAGTCTATCTTAATTCGTATTGGAGTTTCAGAAAAAATTATTTTGAAAAGATGTTTAAGAGTTATAGATATTTAACTAGAAAATTTTGTTTAGTTTAAATGAGGTGATATGATACGTGGCTCAATGCCTAAAATAGTAGATTAATGGTAGATTAATAATCTACTATTCTATGATAGATAGAAAGTTCAAACCTAGCTTACGCCGCTTATATTTATGAAAAATTCAATCTCGCAATTTTTGGCAGTTTCCTGCACGGACAGAAAAATCGTCACTTCCGTGATTCAGTGATTAATTAAAATTGTATTTGTTATTACAGCAAAAGAATGTGCCATTGTTGTTTTTTTGTTATTACTAGTTGAATTGCCACTATTGTTGCTTTTTTCCGTAAAATATTGTTACAATCATCTCGGAATTCTCATTGTCTTCTTCTCAAAACAATAGAGTAAAATAAAAAAGGAAACATAAGAAAAGACAGAGATATTGGATACTGTATTTCATAATTATTTTTCGAGTTATTGTTCAAGCACATATGATGTAAAATATATTTAGATATTCCATCATGCGTGCTTGGACAGTGATTAGAAAGATGATTATTAAATATCTAAGATCTTTATCTTTTTTTTGTATTTCTTTCCATTATTTTATGCTATTGTGTCGATAAAAAAAGCCGATCACTAGGCAATGATTACAATAATTTTTCGTAGACATATTAATATCAGAAATTAATTTACTGTGACAGGGTGACAGGGTGAGAATATTCGTACAAAGCATAGAATCCAAGAGTTTTTTTTCAATAAAGAGATACCAAAAGATAATAATAACAATTTGACAGTATTTTGGATGCTTGCAAAAAGGTCGAGAATTAATGAACCTAGTAAAGCCGCTTTAATATCTATTACTACGTTTACACGGCGATGTTAATTCGATTCAACTTACAATTAGTAACAACCGTAGTAAGTGAGAGCTTGCATTCAATTAAATGCAAGAAATCACTGACTACAGTTGTTGGAAGGTTGGAAAGAAGAAACATGAAAAAATCGAAATGCACTTGTGACGCCGATCCAAACGATCTTTGAAATAAAGGGTTGGTAATATAGTAATACAAAGTGATACATACACATACGAGTATGTGTACACGTACACATCTCATGTGATTCTCATGTGTTTCTCTTTTGAAGAAAGAAATAAATATAAAATTCGGTCAACTAGTTTTTGTATTTTTAATTTTATTTCTTGTCTTCTCTTTTACTATTATATTATTAAAAAATCGTAACTTCCGAAAACTTTTATTTATGTGTAAAAATTCATACGAATAGTTTATAACGCACAACAAGCAAGTATTTCAAGACTCTTTTTCTCAGATTTGTTTTCCAATTTAAGCATATTTTTTAAAGAAGCATCTTTCCGCCTCAAATAATCTTCTTTACATCTTCTGCAAAATTCTGATTAAAAAAAAACTTTTTTACACAGATTATATTTATGTTATCCTGATTGATTCGTTTATTGTGTTATTACACATGAATCTTTATTCATCATATGAATATTTTAACATAAATCAAATAGTCTTTGACGGCATAATAATGGAATATGGATTGTCTATTAAAAATAATATAGAACAATTTATTATTATTTTGATACATATAAAGACTCTTATCTACTATACGTATCTACTATAAGTTGAAACATTTGCTCGATAAGCGCCATAGTTTATTACCCATGATATAAACGAAAACAAGAATGTTCTATAAAAATTTATTGATATCATTTTTGTAGAAGAAAATTTGCGTCAGCTATTCGTTCGTTGTATATGTTTGCCAAGTGTATGCACCTTTACCTTTTGTTTTAAGTTTGATCGTTCTTGACTTTGTCTTAATCGCTATTTGTTTTCAAATCATAGGTATCTGCGTTATACTGTTAAAATTATATTAATTAAAATCTTTATTTAGATTTATTTGATAAGTATTCTGGCTTCTTTTAATTTTAATATTTTTCCCTTAATTATTTATAAAATTTCCTATAAAACTATAATATATAAATATAACTATATATAAATATATACAGACAACAGTTTCTGTTACTTTTACTCTAAATTTTTTGTTCTATTATAGAATACAATATTGCCTAAGGAGATGGACAATGGTCCTATTATGTATAAATATAGAATCGAAGCAGCAATAAATGATATCTTAATTAAAAAAAGTCAATAAGACGAGCTGCACATGAGCACAAAATATCTGCGTCGAAATTAAGAGACCAAATAAAAATTTTTGAAAAATCAGATAAAAGACCTACAGATATAAAAGATTGAACTATAAACAATTATTTATTATTATAGAAAAACAAATCTTACTAAAAAAATTACTAAAAAAGGTATTAAATTCTGCAAATGTATATCATGTATAATTAAGGACCTACAAATTTTAGCTTATCGATTGTATAAAAAAAAATGTAACCAATCAACAAACTGAACACAAACCAAACAAGCACTACTATATTAAGTTAAGAGATTTTGAAATGGCCATGAAAAATTGAAACGTTTTCGATTGCAAAGTGACGATTTTGATTCAAATAATTTTTAATTGTCTTACTCACTGACTAAAGCGAGATACATGTTTACGGCGATGTTAATCCGATTTAGTAACCCGTATTAACGAGAGCTTGCATTCGATTGATATATTTTTTTATAATCTAAGAAATATAATCTAATTAAATGCAAGAAAATCACGGTTGTTATTAAACTGAATTAATGTCGCCGTGTAAACATAGTAATAAATAAGCATAGCATATATGTAATGTATTAAATAAACGTAGCATATGTTTTGATCTCAATTATTTTTTTTGTCCACTGCTGGACATGAAGTCTCTCTCCTAAAACCTAAAGGTTAGAGGAATTTTAGCCATTGCCCTATCAACGTTGGCCGCCAGTGCTGGTTGATAAGGGAGATCAATTTTGTCTTTCAATTGATTTGCTTGGATAGTGTGCGCAATATAAGAGCAAGGATACTCTCGGAAGATTGCCATTTCCTTCCGCGAGGTGGCGATCGAATAAAATCAGTTTTTATTTTTATTATTAATGCGATGGGATTTGAACCCGGATCTTTGCATAGAAAAGCAGACGCACAATTCTCTGTGCCACGATCGCCACGTTGTAGACACTACTATATACAATAAAAATTGTATTGAAATGTGTAAAATGCAAGAAACATTAAGAAATTGTAATCATAAACTGAAAATGTGTATTTATATTTTAAGACAAAAATTCCAACTGGATTTTTGTGTGGATAATCGCATTTTAAAAATTTTATTGAAAATTTAAGATGATTATATTTTTGTATAAAATTTAATTTATAACAAATATTATCTTTGCATAATTATTAAAATAATTTGCATAATTATTCTCTTGCACTAATTATTAAAATAATTTACATTTAATTCTATATATACTATACTTTACTTCATAAACATATGAATATACATTCGATTATGAAATTTATTTGATCTTTCCAATTTATTTGATAATTAAAACTATATTTTTTTTCTTTGTTTAGCGCTATCAAAAGTACAAACTGTCAAAATGCATGATCTTCACATTTTGTTACTCTCGCAATTATCTTCGCCACACAAATGTGAATAAAACAAAAAAATAATCAACTTGTGATAAAACAGCAACAATTAAACTCTTACATGGCCCGTTTATAAATGGATAGATATATTATTTTTAAAATATATACAGTTATTTATATTGCCAA